AGGAAAAAGAACAGTTGTGTGCTCCTTGCTCACACACCTGTTATAACATGTCATTCGTTTCACTACTAACAAAGTTCACATAGCATAGCGAATATACAGTGTAAAATGTTTTGACAGATACGGTAGTGAGATATATATATGTGTATGTGTAGAAAAAGGATTGTGATCAATGAAGAAATATGTACAAACGAAGCGAGAAGCTGTTCATATATATATATAGATTGATTTATGAGAAGTGAAGTAATGTTGCTATTGACCATATAACGATAGAGATAAATAGAAGGAGAATTAGGTCATTCATACATCAACACGCTACGTTTTATTGGTACGAAAAACAAAGAGAAGATATGCAAATTGTTAATTTATCATCGACAACAGGAATGTATTCAGTACAGAGCGTATTGCATTTTTAGTCTACTTTTATAGCGTAATTAACAGACTCGACAAGAATCCATGGTCGGCTGCATTCGGTGATCGTCTAATTGATTCTATTTTTCAGAAAACATGTTCCAGGAAGCTTTTGCGCGCTCACCTGGAAATTTTAAATATTGAGTTACTTAAGCACCTCTCAACGTGCTGAGTGAAGTCTCTAGAATCATCGTATATCTGGATACTTCTCCAAAAGTATATTAAATGACGCAGATCGTAAAAGGACTCCATTGTCTGTTTCTGTTTCAATAGACAATTTGCACTGAAAGTCAACAAAAGAAAACAACATAACTTCTTCATCACAGTGTTTGAAAATAAGAAAAAAAATGAAATCTATGTCAAGTTAAGTAATGATTTCATTAGTGGATTGATATAGTTGACATCGATCTTAGTTTTAACTTGTTGTTGAAAATTTCGCATTATGTTTTGAAGTTTCAGTAAAACCTCGACAACACGCACCATTTTCATAGCGGCTTGTTCGAATGATGATTGTTGAGCGAGATATCGAAAGAGTAAATCTACATATTTCGAATGGGCTTGGAATACACGTTGGTAGTCATATAACATCGCCTCTCGATCATCACTTGCCGATAAACCTTTGAGAAAGATCATTGATAACACTAACAATTGAACAATGATTGGATCTTTGTTGACTAAATCTTCAAGAACGTGAAGCATATTGGCCACAGATCGAAATAGTTCATAGCCATAGCACAGGATAAATAAACTTTTACATTGTTCAGCAAATGCTTCACTGACTGGCGAAGTTTGATCGTCTTCGGGGTCGAGGTGCCACAATTCGCGTGTTCTATCGAATGTTAACGAAAATCGCATCAATCCGGCCATAGATGAGTTATATTTCACTAGTGTGACACGATCGTTTTCATTCAAACTTGCAAAATCTTCGATTTGCCGAACAAAGTTGATCATTCGAATGGCATTAACATTTTGTATATCCAATGTGTTCATATACGTTAACATTTTATCCGAAGTTAATTCCAGCGAAAACATTGATGATACTGGTGGCGTCGATAGCGATGAAGAGCGATATGCATCTTGAATAGAATTCAAACAAGACCAATCGTCTTTTGTTAACTGATAGGAAACTTCATTGTTGACTTCGATTTGAACTTCCAAAGGTTCGCCTTTGATTTCTCTTGGATATAGACGACGATTTTCTTCTATAAGCTTTAGTCTGTTCAATTTTTCTTCACGTGTTGAGATTAAATCTTTCCGCATGCCTTAACAAACACAGTTTCAGTTTCAATAGATGAAAAATTATACAAGCAACGCTTTACCAGATTCGAAACACTTCAATAGGCGACAACGTTGACATTTCTGTAAATTATCATGACGAATATTACATTGAAGACCATATTTATTTTGACATTTGGTTTTTTCCTAAATGTTTCGAGATGAGAAATAATTATCCATGTTGAAAACAAATACTTACAAGTGGGTGGAAAGCAGTTCGACGAAAGAACGCTAAAATCAGAGAATTCATTTAGTCTGACGAATTTAGCTGAATAAACAATCAACCTTTGCATGATTCACAGGTAATTTGACCAAAGTTATAACCAAAAGCAGAACCTCCACAAACCACACATGTTAAATCTGCTTTACGTCGTTTCATAATTGCAGTTTGTTGCCGTTGATCATGTACCTCATCGTTGTTCTACATTAATTATATAAATCTCACTAGACAAAACGAACTCATCCAATTCCTACCAATCGTTTCGTGTTATTTCTCGCCGATGACTGAATTAAATCCATGAGAAACTTTTCATCATCATCTTCACTGCCGGATTTGACTATCAGGACTGTGGTTGAACCTTTTTTTGTCCTATCATTAGAAGCTAATTCAAGTATATCCATTTTTGTTTATGGACTCTTTTCATATGCAATCAGTTGACGGAGTAATGACTGATATTACGTTGTTTTGTTTTGTTTTTTATAATCGCAACGATATGAAAGCCTTTCATCCGTGAACAAGATACTTTTCGTTCGGTTTCGCACATGGATATTAGTGACTAATGCTATGATAACCATCGTGTATCTCGAAAGGAAAAGTGTTCGAAACGGCGCACAACCCGTTAAAGCAGAGAACGTATCTTTTCATTCAGGTGATGTAATGATGAGTCAGAAAACGAACAGTTCGCACTTTATTTATTTTCTGGAAAATCCATAGTTTCAAAGCGTACCGGAAGATTTCTCTTCCGGTAAAAACTGTTATGAGTATGTGAAAGACATTAGGAATGAATCATGGTTTTATTGATATTTACCTGATATAAATAAATCAGCGAAAGTTTAATGGAACACGATTTATCTGTTTACGATCAATTAATCTTTCCTTCATGTGTGCGTTACATCATACCACGAATGAAAAAAAGATCCGGCTTTATCTAATATTCAGAATAATATTCTGTTTTATCGATGTTAGTTTTACGAATATTCCTATCGATTTTTTTTCGCTGAAATAGTTTGTGTTCTGGGTGAAAGAGTGAACTTTTAATTAATTTCGGTACTGGATGTTCTGACAGCTTATTGCTCTAACATATTTCTATTATGTGGAAGAATATCTAAACATGTCAAATTGTCAAGATAGTAATAACACTTTCCGTAAATATACCAGTCATCTTAAGTAGAGGAATTCTAAAATCTTGGGGGATTTTCTCAAGTCGAATCTCTTCTTTGTTTGCTAGAATGTTTCACAATAAATTTGACGAGTGAAACACTTTTAAGGACAAATTCAAACGTTGTGTCATCACGATATACCAAAACAAATTCTCATCAATGATGAAGTTAATCGGTATTTTGTCATATGTACGCCTACGAATAACTGACAAAAAAAATGTTTTCGTTATTCTTTCCATTAGACAATTACTATGTATTAAGTCGGATCACAGTGGCATAGTTAATAAAGAAGACAAATGATCATCATTGGTATTTCACATATTTTTTTGCCTTTGTTGTAAATGTCTGGGGATTCTCATTGTTAATTAACAGCGATTAGCTACTGTACTATTTTTATTATATTTTTAAGCATAATTTATGCAAACTGATTGTCCAACTTTCGGTTTCTGTTTTCTTTTTTTTGCAATCAAATAATGAACACAACCAGCGACATCTATACTTCAAAATTTCATCTCTGACAAATAAATCCTAGTAAACTTTCTAAATCATCTCGTCTCTTGTTTGAAAATATTTCGTAGTGATAAGAAATGAACTTTTTCTTTTCTCTGTTTCTGTGGAGGTTGTCATCTATTGGTTATGGCAATATCATTCAGCCGAAAAAAAAATCAGGCATCGACACAGACAACAACGATCATCTGAGGCAAAGAACATTGCCATGAGTGTTTATTTTTTGTAAGATTGATTTTTTTAGATTCTCTTATGAACAATATTTCAATGGTCAATTATACTTCATGTTATTATTAAATAGAAATCCGATCTTAGTCATATTCGGCAGTCAAGAATCTACATGTAGTATAAGCAAACTGTTCAAGAGAATGATCTAATTTATTTGAAAAGATAAACGAAAAGATTTCCTTTGTATTTATTTATTATTTTAAATTAACTCGAAGAAAAAAAAGTTCATTATGGCTGATCTTGAAGCTGTATTAGCCGATGTTTCCTATTTAATGGCGATGGAAAAGTCGAAATCGACACCTGCAGCATCTGCAAGTAAAAAAATTGTACTACCCGACCGAACGTAAGTCTCCTGTCAAATATTTGAATAGTCAAAAAACGGTTGCTCTTTTCAATAGAGTACGAAGTGTGACGCATAAACATCTACAGAAAATGTATGAAAATACATTCGACAAAATCTTCAATCAACAAATTGGTATGTTTTCACTTTTTCTTGTTATTTTGTTCGACTTTCGATTAGAGACATGCCCATCAATTATTGATTTTTTTTGTTGAATGACATTGTCGTCTAATAACATAACCAAACAGTCGCATTTGTTTTACAGTTGTTTATTATTGTCGTGTCTTCGCCTTTGATTACAGGCAATGTGTTAATATCTTTTTTTTCTCTTTTTTCCTCGCTATTGATAATGTCGAGCCATTTCTATCGGCAAACATTCTTGTTTCTCATTCGGCTGTGTCAGTCTGCTAGTACCTGGGAAGATCAGTTAGAATAAATCTTTTCTTTGTTCGTGTTATACTGCTGATTGAATGAAATGATAGATGAAAAGGAAAAAAAGATATACCAAAAATGCTCGACATGAATCGTCAATAGGAGGATTAGAGCGGTTACTGAAAATGTAATTTAATTGTCGGATCCATAAACAAGGAAATGAAGACAAAGGCAAACGCGATAATTACATCAGATCGCTAGATTATTTCTTTTTTTTACTTTGTTCTGTTAATGAATCTATTCTACAGCAGACCTTCATCTTGTTTTGCTTTTTTTTCTCTTCCTGCACTCTGTTTTTTCCTCTTTCCTCTCGTTTTGTCAAACCGAAAGCAGAAGAGTGTCATCTATTCTTATGGCCTCCGGTCTTCTTTTTTTCAGGTGCTGATAGTGCAATTCAGAAAAAAAAAGTTCTCTTCTCTCTCATCTTGTCTTGTCTTACACGCGTGCGTGTTAAATCCCTACGGCGATTGCCATGTAACTAGTCAATTACTCGCATGAGAACTATTTCGAAGTTCAATTGAAAACTCAGCTTAATAAACAAGCAAATCTATATGAAAATCTTTTCATCTTTTAGGATTTCTTCTTTTCAAAGAATTTGCTGCAAGTCTTTGTGATGAACCTGTGCCTCAATTAAAATTCTATGAAGAGGTTTTTATTTGCCAACTTAGATCATACATCTTCACCTCTTCTATTCTTTGATCAATATTTAGATAAAACGATTTGAAAAACTTGAAACCGATGAAGAACGATGGCGTGTAGGGAAAGAAATTTATGATCAATTTATAATGAAAGAACTACTATCAAATTCACATGTAAAAACATGATATAACTCTTGAAATCATTTCGTTGAATTCATATGTTTTCGTCTTCTCCAGACATATTCCGAACGAGCGGTCGAGAGTGTTAAGAAATACCTGTCGAAATACAATCCAAATAATCCAAAGAATAGTCTACCATCGAATTTATTTGAACCATACAAAAAAGAAATATGTGACTCATTACGTGGACGCATTTTCGAACGATTTATGGAATCTGAAAAATACACCAGATTTTGTCAATGGAAAAACTTTGAATTGAACATTCAAGTAAATTTTTATCTCGGCGAAAAGTTCTTCTGTTTTAATCAATTTTCTTCAATTTTAGTTAACAATGAATGACTTCAGCGTTCATCGAATCATCGGTCGAGGTGGTTTCGGTGAAGTCTATGGTTGTAGAAAAGCAGATACCGGAAAAATGTAAATTGAAGTCTTTAATTTCAATGATGATTTTTGATTAAACATTCTTTTTTCTTTCAAGGTACGCAATGAAATGCCTTGATAAGAAACGTATTAAAATGAAGCAAGGTGAAACATTAGCATTGAATGAACGTATTATGCTTTCCCTTGTCAGCACAGGAGTATGTGGTCTTTTTGTTCTTTATCTTTAATAGATTCGATGTTTTTATGGTTTCTTTCGTTGTTAAGGAGGAAGGTTGTCCATTTATTGTCTGTATGACGTATGCATTTCATACAACAGATAAACTTTGTTTTATTCTTGACCTAATGAACGGTAAGACTAGAAATATATCCTTCGAGAGCTTTTTTGTTTCGTTTAACAAGCGTTTTCATGTGTCTAGGTGGTGATCTTCATTATCATTTATCTCAACATGGAGTTTTTTCTGAGAAAGAAGTGAAATTTTATGCCGCGGAAATCATCCTAGGTTTGGAACATATGCATCTTAGATCAATTGTATACCGAGATTTAAAAGTAAGAAACCTTACAATCAAGTTCAATAGTATATATATGTCAATGTTGATTTTCTAGCCGGCGAATATCCTATTGGATGAACATGGTCATGTTCGCATATCGGATTTAGGTTTAGCTTGTGATTTTTCCAAGAAAAAACCTCATGCTAGTGTTGGAACACATGGCTACATGGCTCCGGAAGTCTTAGCGAAAGGTGTTGCCTACGATTCCAGTGCAGACTGGTTTTCATTTGGTTGTATGCTATACAAACTGCTGAAAGGACATAGTCCCTTTCGACAACATAAAACAAAAGATAAACATGAAATTGATAAAATGACCATGACAATGGTATAAGTCATTACTCGTCAAATCATGCTCATCTAATTTGACTTCTATTTTTAGAATATTGAATTACCTGACAGTATGACTAATGAAATGCGAACCTTATTAGAAGGATTATTACATCGTGATGTTGATAAACGTTTGGGTTGCATGGGCAGATTGTAAATAATGATAGAAAATTTTGCATCATTAAAACTCGTCTTTACCTTTCTTTAGAGCGGAAGAAGTCAAAGACCATCCGTATTTTAAAGATGTTGATTGGAAACAAGTGTATCTACTGAAACTAACACCACCCTTAATTCCTCCACGCGGTGAAGTCAATGCAGCCGATGCATTTGATATTGGAAATTTTGACGAAGATGATACAAAAGGAATCAAAGTAAGAACGAATAAAAGCAAAAGAGAGAGCGAATTGTTATGAATTGCACTTGATTTCATTAGTTGACAGAATCTGATCAAGAATTGTATAAAAATTTCCCTATTGTCATTTCGGAACGATGGCAACAGGAAATCGCCGGTAAATACTCATTGTATTGCTGTTCTTTGTGCATTCATAATGATTGATTTTGATCTAGAAACTGTTTTTGATACAGTCAATCAAGAAACAGATAAAATCGAACAAAAACGACGAGCGAAATTTAAGCAAAACAATATCTACGATGACGAGAAAACCTCTGACCTAATTCTCCAAGGGCAACTGAAGAAAAACACAGGAACATTTGGATTCTCATGGCAAATACGCTACACAAAATTGTACCCAAACAGATTGGAGTTACATTATGAAAAGGGTGATAAAGATCCTGAGGTAATTCTTAACCTCTTCGCATTTGCATAAGTAATTCCTAACAGAACGAGAAATCATCTGTACTTTCAAAGAAAACAAACAACAATAACATTTGTTGCTTTCTGTAATCATTCGAATGTAATAGAGAACATGGATGCAGCAACCCATTAACATGTTGATCAGATCCTTCGGATATAATTTGATTGTTAGCGTTGAGAAGCACGTTGAGAGGATGAAATGACTAGCACGTTTCACAAACGGAAATTGGTGTCTACTAACATAGTTCTTTGAAGTTGATGTTAAAGAAACAAATGTACATCGATCACTTTCAGCATCATATCATGATACGAATAGAAAGAAAGAAAAATGAGATTCCCCCTCGTCGTCTATCGTAAAGATCAATATTTTTCTTTTTGCGGATGAATGAAAACAATTAGGTAACCGTGTCAAAAAAAGGTTATGTTATTTACACACATTTCAAGTTCTTATATACGAAGACAAAATTTGAATTTCTTTTCTCCTTCTATTCTAATTAAAATAGGTTTACACTATGGAAAGAATTGAACATATTGATTCAAAAGAATGTAAAGGACAAAAAACGATAACAATACATTTGAAAGGTGGAAATGAACCTCGATTGATGCTTTCACCACAGGTAAGATTTGATTTCTTCGTTCTATATCTGTTAAAATACTATTGTGACCACAAAAAAACCATCCGATATGTTGTCTTTGTGTTCGATTTCTGCATCCTATTCGTGTGCTTTTAACTGATGTGTCTTCTGTTGAATGTTAGTTTTCGTGTATTTCGTGTTTTTTCTTCTTCTTCTTTACCTTCATTTGTTTCGACCTACCAATAGGATGAAGTCTCATGGATTGAATGGAAGAAAGCGCTGTATGATACATTGGTTGCTTCTCAACAACATTTGACTGTCAGTGAAAAGGCGTCAAAGATTTATGGCGCCGATGTGAGTAGTTCAACATCTACAAATGCGAATTCCAATCAACAAGCATCTACTGGTAATCATCACAATGTTTCGGCATCTGGCGGAACAAATAGTGCTTTAAAGAAGAACAATGTTGCTGCAGCTGCACTCCAGGATTAACCAAACTTCTATTTAAAATGAATAAATTTATTATAAATTTTGGGTTTTTTTCTCTCGTCAAACAGTGATTTTGTTGTGTTCTTTTTTTTCTTGATTTCAACTTTTTTGTTTCTAATCGTTTTGATCGCTGAACAATCGTTTTCTCTTTCTATGTGTTGCCGCTTTTGTTGTCATTGAGATTTCTCTTTTCTCTCGTTCATTGAATCTTTTCTTCTTACTAAACTTGTCAAATTATCCACACATTTCTAGGATATCGTCTCATTTCATGAATGGCGTATGGCGTTAAATGATGCTTTGAATAAATCAACATTAACACTTCATTCATCGAAAAAAATCGGACGATTATTAGTTCCCAATGGTAGCGGATCCAATTCCCATTCACCACAACCAACTACGACATCAATTCATGCTCAACAACAGTAATCAAAATCTTCTGAACAAATTTCTTTCATATATCTCTTCTTGTCACTCTCTCTCTCATCTTCTAGTCATCCTTGCCTTTATGATTTCATTCTCTCTCTCTCTTTCTCTCTTTCTCTCACTTTCTCCAAAAACCAAACAAATTATATCGGTGGTTTGATCGGACAACAAAGCTATATTCATTTTTTCGCGAATTTCTTTGACCCTCGGTTTTTAAAATGTATATATTGATATATATTCGAAAAGAGAAAAACAGTGAAACGCCATTTTTGTCTATGTTTATCGTACACATACACAAAACCTTTCTTTGTCGTATTTCTTGTTGATGTTGTTTGTTATTATTATTTTTTTCCTCTTCATTTTTCTTTTCTATTTGGCCAGAAAATAATACTAATGAACAAATAAATTCGAACGGACTTTATGGTTTCATTTTTTTTATTTAGCGGTGATTTTCTTTCTCTTCTAGATGAACTTTTTCTACCAGAATTACACGATTCATTCCGTTTTTAGTTACAAACTACGGAGATCTTTCGTTCGATAGGATCCTGTTGGTTACGAAGTAAGGATCAACTTTTATGATGTAGGAACAACTGTTGGTTTGTCACATGTGTACGATGAGAGAAAAGTTGTAATTAAATGTTTAAAGGCAGCATTTTGTGTGATCGATAGAATAACCAATAAAAATGAAAGAGAATGATATTTAAGAGACTATTGACGCAATCTTACAAGGACAATAGACGAGACTATGCAGATTTTCAATTTCATGCTGTTTTCTGTTTGTTTTGATTTCTATTGAATCAAATAATGCTTTACTTTTGCATATACTTTGTAGATTCCAGTTTCTTTTTTGTTGTTTCCTTAAGTTGTTAGCCTTGTTTTTCCGTCCATCATGGCTAATTAATTGTGATTTATCGTTATACAATGCTTGTGAATAGTTTTTTCGGTAAGTGTAGAGGAAATAAGTAAGATATGAAGCTCATATAATTCTTTTAGTTTGTTTCTTTACTATACCATGGCTCGTACTTGGCCAGTTACCATATCAACACTCCGGTCAATATGGTCCGCCCGTTAATAATGATATGTATCAACAACAGATACAGCAATCTCAACTTACAATGCAACAACAACAGATGCAGGTCCCAATGCATCAGCAGCAATCGAATCAACAACAACAACAACAACAGCAGCCGAATCAACAACAACAACAACAACCACAGCTACCCATACAACAACCGTATCAAATGCCCCAGCAGGAACAACAGCAGCAACAACACTATCAGATGTCTCAACAAGATCATCAACAACATCAACTTCCAATGCATCAACAACAGCAATACTACCAAGGAACTATGCAAGGCTCTTCGAATCAATTTCTTCAAGGTATGCAACTGCCTCCACTTGTTAATCAATTTCAACAGCCAACACAAGATCATCCAGCAGCCCAAGGACTTTCGCCTCCTATGGGACCAAGTGAACGTTATTTGGTTGGAAATCTATCCGAACCATTCTCATTTCAAGTAGCACCACCTTCAGTCAAAGTTGCTCATTTAAGTTTAAATGGTTATTCGCTATTCATCATCGGTGTGGGCTTTTCAAATCGATCAAAATTCAACTACGACGAAGAAACTAATCGCTTGACTGTACTTACACTTGATCGCACAACTGTAGGTTATTACACCGCGGTTGACAGGAACTGGCAAACATTTGTAAATATTCTCAGTGCTATAAATGGTAATTCTGTTCTTAAAAGTTCTTGAGGGTCAATATCATTGTCTTTCATCTTAGTTTCATCTCTGGTGATCCGAAATTCACATGTTAGTGAAGATAATAATGGCTCGGCACTTGTCTCTTGTTCAGTATCAATTATTCGTTCAAGGTTTAAATTAACTGAACCTCCAGCGTCGTCAAATAACCCTGCCATTGCGCCTGCGTCATCTTTACCATTACAGCCAAAACCCTCGTCGAATCTAGCAGGAACAGAAAATTTACCACGACTAGATTTATTTCTATCAACACGTACACCGTTAACATCATCGTTTCCCGATACAAAAGTATACAATGATTCATTGAACGAGCAAGATCTTACGCGAACGATCATTCTTCGACGTCCATTAACACGTGCTGATCACAATGGAACAGTTCAATGTCAAGTAGAATCAAACAACAATGTTGATGTTTACCTTATTAAAACAGTTCCAATCGATATCGATTGTACGTTTCTTCTTAATAGAAAGTTTTCTTTTATTCACTTCAATTTTCTTTTTTCTTCATTACAGATGGACCAAATTTAGAAGCCGGTGCTTTACCAATTGTTACATTAGATAGTGAAGCATTAAAAATGATTGCTATAGAATGTCAGATAGAAGCCAATCCAGCTCCGTCCTATGTTTGGTACGAAATGCCAACGAATGTGTCAACAGGCATGATGCCATACTATGGTAATCAAATGCCTTATGGTCAAAATCAGTATCCACTGCAACCACAAGGACATATTCCACCAGCGGGTTCAAATGTATTTGGCACAACAAGACAAATACAACGAATTTTTCAAAATCCAGGTCCGCATGCAATGCAATGTCAAGCACAATCTGGAGGAAAGACTATTAAACAACAGTTCAATATTATGGTTCATCGTAAGTTGTCTGACTTGGTTTAATTGATTTCAATCGATATGGTCGTTAAAAGAATCATCTATTTCTCATTCTTCTAACGTGTTTCGACACATTGTATCGATTAACTTTGTGTTTAGATTAGTAATGTACTTTTATGAGTAAGAATATCCATCCGAAGGTTTTCCTAAAGAGCCATATGCTGTTTGTTATGCACGATCGTATCGTTTTTATTGTCTTACTTTAACAAATGATATTTCATTTGCTATTATGACGCCTTTTTTTTAAAACATTTCGTTCTCTATTTAGCTTCATCCAATGAAATGAAGGGAGGTTCAAATGGAGATGGAACTCAAGGAAGTGAGTATATTTTCTTGTCATGGTTACTAATTGAATAAAACGTGATTTACTTTTTAGAATCTTACAAAGTACCAATGATTATTGGATTGAGTATTGGTGGTATTTTGCTCCTTCTTCTTATTGCAATCGTGATTGCTGCTGTTATCTTCTTGAAACGTCGCAAAGCAGGTGGTATTGAGCAACGTGCATCGAGTGGTATGTCTTTTTGATTGTCTTTTCTTCTACTAAATTTTCCTTTATTTTAGCTGGAAAAATACACGATGAGTAAGTTCACTCTTGTTTTCTATAAACGCAGTTCGTATAAATGATTATATATCATTATTTTCTTTCAGTAAATTTGGAGGAAATGCTTGGAATCCACGTGCTCCTCCACCAAATAATCAAGGAAAAAAATACGGGCAAGACGTGTTAAAAGGCGATTCATCTTCCACATCACATCTTGTCGAATCTGCTGAAAACAATAGTAATAATCCTCCACCAATACCAAGTCGTCCATCGCCAATGTTAAGTACACATTCATCCTATCGTCATCAAACCGTGCCAATCGCTTTCTCCTATCAACAAGCTTCGACTCTGAATGGCAGTTGTCCACCACCACCATTACGTTCTTATTCGCCTGACCAAGACGATGGAGAGGAAATTGAAATTAGCGTTCATGCCATGCCTCTAGCAACAAACCGTTCTCGAACAACAACACCATTTGGTTCACGCAAATCGCTCACCGAATCAATACAATCATTACGATCAAATCAACAGTCTGCTCTCTCATTACCTGTTAAAAAACGTCCTCAAGACCCTCCACCCTTACCTGCTCCAATGGTGCCAAAACGTGATCACCAAACACCTTCGCCAAAATCCTTCGAAGGAAAGAAGGATTATCAATATCATCATTATCATAATCCAACACAAATACGAACGCAACCAAAACGAACACCAACGACAACAATTCCACTTAGAGATGGCCCATCCGACGAGGAAATGGAACAATTAAATTCTGCCACAGAAGATGCAGCTGTAAGTATTCGACATAGAACGAGTACCTCTTTGGTTATTTTTTCCATTAAAAAAACCCTCCCGGTTTCTTTCAGCTTCTTCAGAAGAAATTTAAATTTCGTGTGGTAAGTTGGACTTAATATCGATTGTCATGACCGGTGTCAAATGTTTTCATTTTACTATGTTTGTTTGCCTGGCATCTCGTACATTTTGCTCTTGCTCGTATTTGACAAACAACATATGTTCATTCCGCTTAAACTGTTTTTTGCTTCTCTAATGTGTTATTTTTTATTACAATAACAGGCGTCGATTGTTTGACTTTTGTTTTGTCTTTTCAATAGGCCGCGCCTCCGCCATCATCGAAACACAATCAAGCTGAACCGCAACACGGACGACGCATGATTACACCGCCACCTCCTCAAAAAATTGTTGTTCATCAACCAAGTGGAATGCATCAGGATGAACCACCACCGTCATATCATCAAATATCTAAACCATCAGCACCGGCGACTGCCTTTGCATATCAAGAGCCAACGGAAGTTTAACTATGTTCAAGCAGTATTCGTTTTTATTTCTCTCTCGCGAGTTTATCTTTGTTTCTCTCAAATAATTATTGCACATTATCCATTTGACTTTTCCCGTATTCTTTTATTCATTTGTTGTGCAATGGATTTTCTTTGCGTTGAATGAATCTCTATTATTTTAGCGCTTACCATTCAATATATGCATATATATATAAGTGTGTGTGTGTTCTTTACAATTGTTTATATATAGAACAAGCTAAAATACAGCATCAGATAAAATGACCAATTCTTAAGCATGTTTGTTTTGTCTTGTATGTACATTCCACTCTGTCGACTCAGTTCTCAGCACTGGTTTTTATTACTTTTGCTATTGATTCTTATATTACGTAATGATTTCTTTTTTTTTGAAAGTGAATTTTAATAAATTACGATACATATTTACTTCCGAGAGAATACTGTTTTCAATCTCTCTGACCGCAATTGACCATACGAGTGTATCGATGAAATTATATGCGTAGTGACATCACAGGATGGGTGATGAAAGTTGCTATTACTATTAGTCATGCATCTTGTCTTCTAAGTAAATATGTTGTTGATAATGGAGGAAGAAGAAAGAATTTTGTAGAATTATCATTTAACCGACCATGAGAATGTCTTATCTGTTTGAAACGAATAATTATTTTCACTGCTGTGAAGATAAAACAATATGATAAAAATTCATTTACACGTAAAACAACGAAATAAAAAAGGTCCTCTTCGTGAATATTTATGTATAGAGTGACGAGCACTTACACATTGTTTATTGTTGTTCTATTGAGCATCGCCACAACCAGTTGGGCTAGTTCGTGTGATTATACTCGTATGTATTCCGTATAAATAGCTTTCGATAGAATCCCGTCCTCTATTTCGCATTTAGAAAGAACATGCTACGGCAACTTTGGAACTTGGTGTTGTGCAGGTAGAAAGAATCTTCAAAAAATTCGAATATTCCCTTAAATATTTTTCTGTAGCTGATGCAACATGTGGAGCTAGCGATGGTGTATGTTACGAATCGTCAGATCTCCCACCTGCTGTGATTGCTATTATTATTATTGCTTCAATCTTCTGTTTTGTCGTGTGCTTAAGTTGCTGTATACAATCTCGTCAACGGGAGCAACGTTTACGTGCTACTGCAGTTAATACACAAACGCGATTATATCCAGCTTCGTATCAAAATAATGCTATACGTGGTCCAGTACGAGTGGTTCAAGTACGACACGCGTCTCACGTTAGAGCTGCTCCGCCAGTAGCCACATTTCCAAGCCTATATGAAGCACTACCGCCGTCCTACGAAATAGCTGTTGCAACATCTCCGTCGGTACATCAATTACCAGCATCTCCACCAATGACAGCAACAGTTGAACAATCTGATGTTTCCAATGTGTAACAGAAAATTGCTATTTTTATACATATACTTAAGATACACAGAAATATATTTCTAGCTATTGTCATCATGATTGGAATGTCAGGAGAGCAATCTCGAGGATGTGAACGTTTAAGTGCATAGTTGACAATACTAAAAAAAAACGATGACTTGTTTATTGAGAAATGTTACTGTTAGCGTCCAATCGCCTTAATTTTTGTTCTCTCTCTATATAACCTGTGTGTGTGTGATTCAAAGGGGAGAAATAAAATCACTCTCGCGAGGAGAGCCACACTAACATATTGGTGCCGTGACCCCCTCTTCTTTTACTTTTTCTTATCGAAAAGAAGGAATAATTGCTGGGGATATTAACTCATCCTAACGGAAAGAGTGGTTTATTTCTCATCCATTACGGGAAGAGAGTGGAACACAATCAATTACGAAAATTTTTATTAGGATTATCAAAATTATCCAGCCGAAAATTGTAAGAATTTTTCATATACCCGAATTTTCTTTTTCGTTCTTTGTAAACAAACTCATACACGTCGCGGACGATATTCGGCGGACAACAGAAGAAATCAGTGCAAATCTTTATTTGCACATTCGGCCTATACGAAAATGTCCTCACCGGCAGTAAAAGACACAGCACCGAGAAATATCTCGGCGGACGAAATCCAAATGAATACAACTTCGACGAGCAAGATGAATGAAAATAAACTTTTGGATTTCTTACGGCCGACATTGAATCACCAACTACAACAACCTCAACGAACACCGGAAGAAGAACTCCAAAAGAAGAAAGAAAGACAAAAAAAGAAGAATGAAAAATTCAAAGAAAAGAAAAGAAATCGTCCCGATTTCATAAATCGTTTAACAAGGCCCATCTATCACAAATACACATATAAAAAAATTAGGGCACAAATGATGGACGATGGAATTTATCATTCACATCAAATCAACATCAATGAAGAAAAAAAAGAGGTGACAATCAACTTCAAATCACCAGCATTACTGGAAGAAGCGAGAACGAAAATGCGTGTGAATTATTTCTCGGAAAAGCAATATTACAAAAGATGGTGAAAAGTTTTAAAAAAATTCTTTTCCTTTCATCATCTCAACGGAAACAAACAATGGACCAATACAACAAAAACAACAGCTCATCGAACTCCATTGACCTCCTCACCGACATTATCAGCTTCACCAGATCCACATCCACATTCGATAACGAACGGACAAAGCGGAACGGTGAACACGAACGTAAAACTGTTCAACACACGAAATTTTCTGTTTCTTTTTTTATTTATGTCACATCGTTCGTTTTCTCTCTCGTTTTTATTGCAACTTTCAGATTCGTGTCTTTCGGGTTGTATGCGGACACACGTTATTTTAGGAGATGGACGCATGTTAGTGTCCAGTCGCCTTAATCTTTGTTCTCTCTCTCTCTCTCATGTTATCCCTCTATATAACCTGTGTGTGTGTGATTCAAAGGAGAGAAATAAAGTCACTCTCGTGAGGAGAGCCACACTAACAGTTACATTTTATGTTGACAGTGTTTGTTTCCTTGATAATGATTCACAAACGAGAATCGAACTTTTTTGCTTCATTGTATTGGTTATAAACGAACAGGACAATCGAATAAATGTGTTCCTTACCTTGATCATATTGCACTCGAACGATTTCATTGTAATTCATTTAGGGGGGCTCATTTCAATTTTTGTCAACTTCAAGGTAGAAAATATTATTTATTTTACTCAATAAGTTCAAGCTTGATCGTGTTATTTCTTTTTTCGAGTGACGAAATTTCGCGGTACATACAGTCAATTTCTATCAATGCGTATATATAAATGTAACCAATATGAATGGGTACGGTTCTCTTTTCTTTTCGTTCTTTACACCATTGCGAACCTTGTATACCCTTTTCTTTTTCTTTTCGTTTCGATGATGTAAATAAATACTTGTTTTTTTTATTATTATTTCACCGTCATATATACTTTGCACCCGTCCGCGATCACAATGGATGATGAACATTTCTATGAGATGAAATCTGGCCATGGTCTTTCACATGATCCATTTAAAGCTATCGTAGCACCACGTCCTATTGGCTGGATATCAACACGATCACCTGAGGGTCGCACAAATCTTGCTCCATACTCATTCTTCAATGCATTAGGAGAAAGTCCACACATTGTCGGCTTCTCATCGTTTGGTTACAAAGATACGGTGACGAATGTGGAGAAAACCAAAGAGTTCGTGTTTAATTTAGCAACACGGGAGTTAGCAGAAAAGGTGAATATCACATCGTATGCAGCACCCTACGGAATTAACGAAATGCAACTTGCAGGATTGGAGGCAGTACCTTCTCGGCTTGTCAATGTACCACGCGTACGAGATTCGTAAGTATCTCTTTTCAAATAGACAATTATCTTCACGATCCGATTTGCATCTTTCAGGCCAGCTGCATTCGAGTGTCGTCTTCTGTCTGTGACTCATCTGCATGATATAGATGGAAATCCTACAAAAAGTTACTTAGTCTTAGGTCAAATCGTTGCTGTGCATATCAAACGAAAGTTTATTACACCAGAAGGACTTTTCGATACAGCTGCTGCGTGTCCTATTGCTCGATGTGGTTATCTAGGTGATTATGCAGAAGTCAATAAATTATTTTACATGCGTCGACCAGCCGATGATAATGCTGAATTAGTGGAAGCTGTCAAGCAGCTCAGTGAAAAAGATCAACAATAATCGAAGTTTATCTTTAATCTTATTTCTTTCAAAAACTTTCTAAACTAAAATAAATAGATCAAATCAACTTCAATGTTTCGTAATGTTAAACATTGATTGATTAAGGGAATGTGCAATGCATCTTGAGAGTACAGACCAATGTTTGTTTTGAAAACAAACATGATGTAACGCTTCTTTTAATTTCGCTTAAATAATCATAGTCAATGAATCTCAAATATGTTGAATTGGCAAAGTCAAGTCTGAAGTATCATTGTCTAGTGATGATTTTATGGACAAATTTGTTTTTAAAACAACAATCTTACTTTGAAGAGTTCATAACATTGTATTTGCTTTTTATATAGACTTATAAAACTACACCATTTGCTCTTCAAGTATGTATGTATGCATAGAAAAAGAAAAACAGTATGTATATTAAAGGCAAAGTAGCAGAATACTATTCTATCTGTAAGATACAATATAATTTCATAAGAAAGGCTAATCATTGGATTTCGGTCGACTGCGACGAGAATGTCCTTGATAATGTTGATTATTCGATGGATCTTTGAGAATTGTTTGTAACAATTTCGTTTTTCTCAATGTTTCTAATGGCGTTTCAATTTTGTCTGATTGTGTTTTTCTTACCGAAAGTTTCAATAGTCGTTGTAAACGTTCCAATTCATCAAGAATCAATTCCATGCGAAGATTGAGAATCTCTAATTCTCGTGAATTGTTACGAGATGTACTTATAGTTGTATGTTCACGTGCGAGTGTGGCGAATTCTTGACGAAGACGTTTTATACGTGAATGACATTGTTTTTCGGACAATGCTGATCTCTGTGGACGTTCGGATGATGATGTTGTGATTGAACGACGGACAGCGCGAGTCGGTGACGCTGATGCAGGACGTGTACGGGATGATTTATTATAATGATCAAGATAGAGAATTGTATGGGGAGATAAATCACTTTTCCCATTCGTATGATGAAGATCTGAATATTCTTTTGACGAGAGACATAATTGATGATTATGATTCTTTAGTAAAGCAATAACCTAGAATGAAAATTGATGGATTTGACGAGAATATGTTAGTTTTGTTTTTCTTTACATTTTGTACATTGGATTTGACATTGTGACTTGGTGATGTTGATGCACCAAGAATGAATGGTACTGAGTTCATGTCTAGATGGAAATGTCGCGCGTCAGTATTTGTTGGTTCACAACTATGACGTTCCCCAGATGATCGTTTCTTTCGTCGAGTTCCTATTCGAGATTTGCGAGGACGTTCTTCGTTAATGGTAAATGCATTTCTACATGGTAAATCTTGAGGTGAATGAAGCTCTTGTTTCAGTTTGTTCGCTCGTTTGTCTGAAATATTCTCGGGAGGTTTATGATGCGTTCGAGATCGATGAATATCGTTCGTTATTTGACGAAGATTGGATTCGGCTCTCTAAAACAAACAAATGAATAATTCGATGTTTTCGATAATTCAAACTTGTCGTGAATGTTTTACATTGTCTGACGAGTGTCGAAAAAGTTTCTGTTATTCTACAAACCTCTCGTTCATTTTCAAGCGTTTTGATTTTCAATGTCAAAGATTGTAATGCTGTCAACAATTGATCACGATTAGATTCAGGCAATGTGACCGTTCTCGATAAAGTAGTTGAAGATCGCAATGGTTGATAAATCGAATTAGTAAATGGTTTTTCGGGTGGATATTCATAAAATGATAGTTGAGAATTATGAGCATTAAAATTTGTCGCTGTTGTGTTCGCAGATTCCCACATCGTGTCTTCTTTCTTCTTCTTGGATATATTAATGAAATAGGAAAAAAATGACAGACGAGTTTAGCCTTTTTTTACTGCATATACGATTCTTAACATAGAATGGAGACACAACACCGCAACCACCTTTCTTTCCTTTAACCCTCTCTTTTTTTCCCCGTGCGACACATGAGAGAAGTGAGTTGCCGAGACGACAATCAGCCATCGTTCTTTGTTCTTTTTCTGTTAACCATCACATCATTACAATTAGTTGTATAGTGATAGAAAAGAACGACAGGCAGCGTTGTTGAACAACTGCTGTATTTACAGTCGATGTGCTTTTGTGTTCTTTCTTTCCTCTTCGTTTTTCAAGTATTCATTGATAAATAAAATACTAGAGACCATGGACATCTCAAGATACTCCTTCAAAACTCGCCTTTTCGACTGAAGGTGAAATAATTTCAAATATTATGCATATTTATTCTTTGAAATGAGGAAATGATAACATCTGACTGAATAAATTAACTTGATCTGACTAGAATTACAATCATCAGTATAAAAATTTTGAAAGACAAACATTAGCGACATCTGGATCATTCCTGGAATATGAGATAAATAATTAAAAATAGTAGAAAATGAACGAAGACTGAAAGTCAAATGTGTCGAAATTGCTCAAAAGAACTTGAGAAAAAATGTTCGTTGTCAATGACCTCTTCATTTTGATTGATTAGTATGGTGTTATTTTTCGCATTTTATCAATCATTCATCTAATCAAAATGTCCTCTCAATTAAAGCAGATCTGTAATACAATTTATCGCGAACAAGTTCAAAGTATTCGTGATTTAACATCAGGACATTTGAATGAAAATCATCTTTATCATGCACGTGAAACTATCGATGGGAAGCGAAAACCAACATGGTCATCTTCACAAAAACCTCATCCAACTTTACGACCGTCTCATCGTTTGAAAACGTATTCGAATACTGTCGAACAGATGAAAGATTGTCTAGTAGACTTCACGTATGTCTCGCTGCCAGAACTTCCGAAAAAACAAACACCGAGAGTAAGCAAAAAATGAACCTACGCATCAAAACTCAGCATTCTCTTCATATTAGGCAGATGAACAACCATCATCGTCGTCATCATCATTGACCAGTGAACAACTTCCGCCGATCAATAATGAACGTATGCGTGTACCAACGTTTTCTATTGATCTATCTGAAGAACAACGAGTGCGAAAAATGAAAACATTCAATGATAAAGTAATACAAACCAAAGATGTGAATCTGCACGGTCTGGGATACAGTGAAGATTTTGTTGTACAAGTTGAACAAACTCTCCTAAGGGTAACCATCGTTTTTTTATTTGCTAAACATTCTCTGATGTAAAGCATTTCGTTATGTATAGAAACTATCAGCTGTTGATGGTCAGAATAAACAGCAAACACTGAGTTTGAGTCGCCTTCAAGCGTACGGTGATGCGTTGGGTCAACTCATTCAAGGTTCAGTCGCCTTTGGGCCTGTTTTAGAACGTATTAAAGTATGTTTGATTCGATTTTCATCAATTAGTTTTCTAGTTTCAAACTGATTTAGGACGAA